TCCTTTAGGATGGTCACTCAGCCACTTCTCTGAGCAGCCTGTTCCAATGCTGGACAACCCGTCTGGTGAAGAAATTTTTCATAATATCCAATCTAAATCTTCTGTGGTAAAACTTGAGGCCGTTTCCTCTTGTCCTATTACTTGTTACTTGGAAGAAGAGACTGACACCTGCAACAGTACAACCTCCTTTCAGGTAGTTGTAGACAGCAGTAAGATCCCCCCTGAGCCTCCTCTTCTTCAGACTAAACACCCCCAGTTCCCTCAGCTGCTCCTCATCAGACTTGTTCTCCAAACCTTTCACCAGCTTCATTGCCCTACTCTGGACCTGCTCTCTGTAGTGAGGGGCCGGAACTGAACACAGGATTTGAGGTGTAGCCTCACCAGTGCCTATTACAAGGGGATAACCACTACCTTGGCCCTGCTGGCCACACTATTTCTGATACAGGTCAGGATGACATTGGCCTTCTTGGCTGCCCGGGCACAAGCTGGATCATATTCAGCTCTATCAGTCAACACCCCCAGGTCCTTTTTCTTTGCGCATCTTTCCATCTACTCTTCCCAAGCCTGTAGCTTCACATGGGCTTGTTGTGGTCCAGATGCAGGACCCGTCACTGTGCCTTGTTGTAACTCATACCACTGGCCACAGCCTATTGATCCAGCCTATCCAGATCCCTCTGCAGAGCCTTCCTCTCCTCTAGCAGATCAACCTCCAAGAGTCAGCATGTAAATTTACTGAGCATGTACTCGGTCCTCTTGTCCCAAGCACTGATAAAGATATTTTCAATAGAACTGGTCCCAGTACTGAGCCTTGGGGAACACCACTTGTGACCATCTGCCAACTGGATTTAATTCCATTCATCACCACCATTTGGGCCAAATAATACTTTTTATTAACTATGCAATGATTTTTGCATTATTATGTGATGATTTTGGCTATTACTTCCCCAAAAGGGGAAATATTAATAGGCAGTTTTTAATGCCTTTTTGAAACCTAATGCATGTTTAAAATACACTTTATTGTAAAAAATGCGACTAGTTAAAAACCCACAGTATATTGCAACTAGACTAGAACATAAATACAATATTAATGTAAAACTAAATAATACTGCAAGTTCACTGTTTGGGCTTAGTTGATTTTTTTTCAAGATTTATAGCACAAATTTATAAGCACTGGAAAGCCATATATGAAAATAATGAAAGGGGTTGCTCCATACTTTTTTCACAAAACATTAAGGTAGCTTCACAAATATTGTGCATGCATGGATCCAACTGGTTTTGTGCTCTGATCTTGCATGTGTAACTCAGTTGACTGGGTAGTATCAGTGATCTGGTTTCAGATCATTGTCTGGTTTGCCTGTGCTGCAATGATGAACTCAGTCCCAAGAAGACCAATGAAGTGAAAATCTGAGAAAAACAGATAACAGAATCACAGAATCACAGAATCCCAAGGGTTGGAAGGGACCTCTAAAGATCATCTTGTCCAACCCCCCTGCAAGAGCAGGGTAACCTAGAGTACATCACACAGGAACTTGTCCAGGCGGGCCTTGAATATCTCCAACGTAGGAGACTCCACAACCCCCCTGGGTAACCTGTTCCAGTGCTCTGTCACTCTCACAGTAAAGAAGTTTTTCCTGATGTTCATATGGAACCTCCTATGTTCCAGTTTACAGCCATTGCCCCTTGTCCTGTCACTGGACATCACTGAAAAATTGATTGTAAAAAGAAAAAATTTGATTTGTAAAAAGAAAAAAATTGATTTGAAAAAAGATTGTAAAGCAGTAACATTTAGGGACAGTTTATAACAGTTCTGTACCCAGCACACACTGTAGCAGGCAGTGTTGGGGAAGAAGAGATTCAGGGAGAAAGGAAACCTTAGCCACTGCCGAAGTAAGACTCAGGGAGGCATTCAGGAGGATTAGCAGCATTAAACCTGGAGATCCAGATCACCTTGTTCAAAAAGCAATGTTTTGGTTTGTCCTTGAGAAAAATCTTAAATAGTGCTAAAAGTGGTGAAGTGAAAGGTTGCTTGATGGAGAGTACAGGAGGTAGAGAGGAAGAAGAAATACTACTTTTTGCAAAAAACTTTGTAAGAAGACATTTTGAACAAATGAACAGAAGGTTTGGATTAAGAGTTAAAAATAAATCTTTTTATGTTTTCCAGTGTGGAAAGTTCCATTTTGCTCTGTTTTGGCTTAATTTTATAGGAGAACATGTTTGTGGAGAATTTCTGTGTTCAGCTATAGATGCAAAATATGTTCATATCTGCTACAGAGGATTTTTTTATGTTAATGATTGTTTTCATATTATCCCTTAGATTTCCAATTTACTTCTCCTGTAAAAAACCCCAAAACCAAACCAAAGCAACAACAAACAAAATGACAAAACAAACCCCCCAAACCAACCAAACAAAAATCCCTATGATTTGAAATCCTCATATTCTGCAGTGTAACAGCAAGTGTTTAGTGACTAAAAGCAGAGGTTTTCTGCAGCTCTGGAGGCTTTGATTTCAGTAATTTTTCATAAACAAGCTCAAGTGCTTGAATTACCTAGTGATAAAAGTGGTGGTGGGAGGTTTTCCTCTTAAGTCCAGAATATAATATGCTGCCTTGGGAGGCAGGTATATTTCCAGTTTATTGATTCTGGCTGCTTTTACGGTATTGCTCCAGCACTGACTGCGGAGTTTATGAGGAAGCTGCCATCTGCTGTTAGGACTGCCTCGTATCTCCTGACGGTGCAACAAGGTTTTAATTCCTGAGGACATGGATTTAAAAGGGACTCTTGGGCACTGGAAGAGTCTGTTTCCTCTGACTTATGTGAAGGGGCTGAAATTTAAAGTAGAATTTTTTTTTTGAGAATCAAAATGGAAGAATGAGATGTGAGTGCTGAGCCAGAAAATCTTTGAAGGTCTCAATTTACAGAGAATAAAGAAGGCTCAGTCTGTGACAAAGTTAGCTAAAGTGCAGAAAGATCAGACTCCAAAATCCAGAACACAAATATGATCCAGAAAAGCAGAACTGAGAATAAGGGATCTAGAGCATTAAAAAGACACTGACTTGGTCCCTGAGGGACACTTTGAAGTGGTGAATAGGTGTAATGCATGGCTGGGGTGGTGGCTGGGTCTTTTTATTTTACTTTTTTTTTTAATCTGAATTTGCCTTATACCACAGGGAAAAAAAAAAAAAAAAAGAGTGATTGGATTGGGATACATTTCATTGTGTGTAGTTTTTGCTTCTGCCAACCTTTGTCTTTGAAGAAGGAAAGGGGATCTCAGGTGGTGGGAAAATGCGTGCTGAACTCCTGGGGAGGTCAGGTTAACTGGCACTGATCCTAATGCCTCACCATCTGGGTTTAGGTGTGAGCACTTGGAAGGTGAGAGTGCTCAGAGGGCTATCAAGGGTGGAAAGCTCTCAAAGAGTGAAAGCTAAATACAGTAGCTCAATTTTGCAGTCTTGGGAAGTGTAGAAACAAAAGGCCATTTGCAGCCTTGTTACTCTGAGTGAAAGAGGCTGGTACAGTGGGTGTCTAGTGGGGAAAGATTTTGGTAGGTCTTCAAACGATAGTATGAAGATCACCCCAAGTATTTCTAGTTACTAAAAATGCACAGTATTTTAAAAGATGATTTTTAACTATCTTTTAAAAAAATCATAGTTAAGATTTTTGAGTTAAGGGACATTATGACACAGGTAATAGCCTTCTTCATCCATAATTTTAATTCTCCTTTATCACAGCTACACCACTATTCTGACAAAGCCATTGTCAGATTTTGCAGTTTAACAAAATATTTTTGCTTGCTTGCATAAAATATCTGAACAGAAGATATAAGAATGAGAATTTATTTTACTCAGTGAATTTATCTGTAGCGCTTCTGGAGAGTTGTGCATCACAACTAACATTTTCCCAATTGTCTTTCTCAAGTGTTTAGTGTTATACCTAATATAATACACAAAGCTTTGCAGTCATCGAGTGTGGTGACAAATAGTAATGCACTTTTGTGCATATACTGACAGCTAAGATTTCTTACCCTATTTTTGAGTGTTTTAGATTAGGGCACTTAACCTTTAGGGCACATTTTCTCAATAGAGACACATTAGATATAAGGAAGAAGTTCTTTACTGTGAAGATGGTGAGGCACTGGAATAGGTTGCCCAAAAAAGTGGTAAATGCTCCATCCCTGGCAGTGTTCAAGGCCAAGCCGAACAGAGTCGTGGGTGATGTGATTTAGTGTGGGTTTGGAACTAGATGATCATAAGGTCCTTTCCAACCCTAAATATTCTACGATAGTCAAATTTACAGATAAAAAAATAGATGACATTGTTTTAATTCACAACCATTATGCCTTTTAAAACAATTTAAAAATCTTCATCTCATATTTGTAGCACCATGGTATTATTTGACTTCCATATGCTTATAAACAAAATTTTAGTCTTTTGGGGACCACTGAAGCTACACTTCTATAAAATTATTCTAAGAATGGTACAATTAGAAATAATACATGCATAAATACTGAAGAGTTGAATTAAGTCTAGACTTGAGAAGGTGAAACACACAGGAACCAAGACATTAATGTATACATATTTCCAAAATAAAAAATGGAAATAAATTTTGCTTAGGTAACCCAACAGCAATTTATATTAGGTGAAACCAGGAGGAATAAGAGTTTGTGAGTGACATATATGAGCAGCAGCTGAACCGCAAAATAAAGTCTCTATGACTAAAAATGTTTGAGAACATTAACTGGATGTAGGCGATTCTCAGAGGTCCAAATGAATTTGTTTGAGAGCAGATTACTGAAGTTGCTTGTTCTGTTTGCAATACATATAATTATTATTCTGTGAAATACAAAGTCTCATCCCTGTTCTTTGCAAACTTGACTAAGGGAACAAGATTTTACAAAAATCTTTGAGGAGTTAGAACACATAAAAAATTACATCGATACATTAAAGACAATATGAAATTTACCATAGCATCATCTATATCTTACTTTTGCCTTCATTTTCCAGGGAAGCCCAGCTTTTTGTTGAAAAGTTTGAAGGTGCTCTTGGAAAAGGAAAAGGAAAAAAATTCTATGCATACAAAGTGATGATGACCAAGGTAAATTTATTATTTCACTAACTGCATGTAATGCAAATGGGGAGACTTCTGTCCATTATTGGCATATATACCCATCTACATAAACAGAATTCCTTGTCTTTCTTTGCATTTGGACACTTTTGTTTTCACTGTTCTTGCATGAAAATATTTCTAATGCAAACTCACTATTTGATTGAGGCTTGATTTCACAAGAATTTGCAGGAGTTTAATATCTTGTGAAGGTTAATTTCTCTTGATATATATTGATTTTTGCATGGGTTGAATCCAAAGCTCAGTCTCTACCTTGAGACAACCTTCTGTGAAGGATCAAAAAGTGTATTTTTGCCCTACAACAAAAGTGCTGTAGGCATCTCCACTAAGTTAAGGTTCCGGGGCTACGCATATGCTAGGGAATAATATGGCTCTGTAGGGTTGTGACTGAAAGGCTGAACAATATTCGCACAATATGTATTCTGGCAGGTCTCTCGTACAGATAAGTCCTTTGTGGTCTCAAACAACAAATATCCACTAGCAGTGGATGTGGATTAAGGTGGTCCTCAAGTACATCTTTTGACTTAGTTTTATCCTCTAACACTGCTATACAGTGTGAATCTGAGTGTGGTAAATCAGGATGGTTTGGCAGATTCACTTCAAAAGCACACTTTTGCCCCAAACTAAAATGTTTATGTAGAATGATGCTAAGAATATTTGGTAAGTTTACTTGCTACAGACAGGTTTACCCTTACTTAGACTGGACTTTCTGCAAACATCAGACTCAAGCATCTGCTGAGTCACATCTCATAAGCATTAATGTTCACAAAAAATAATGAGGCTTTCAAACTCAGATGGGCACAAGAAGCTCTATTACAGAAGTTACACTTATCTAATAGATAAAGTATTGTGTAGAATAATTGTAATTAAACCACACAGTTTGAGCTCCAGATCTGAATTTTGAATAGCACAGGAAATAAATTAAATTCTCAGAAACAATTATAAAAAAAAATAATAGAATGAAAAGTAGAGGTTATTTAATCATTTTTCTTCTGGAAGAGGTAGGGTTTTCACACAAAGCCAGTAGGAGACATATTCAGAACAAACGAAATAAGATGGCTCTTCATAAGCTACTGCTTCTATTGCAGTGGGCTCTGCCAAAGGATATTGTGAATGATTAAGGGGTTATGTTAGCTCAAGGAGAAACAGCATCTGGGCACTGAGATAATGGTCATATTTTTTTATTTGTGACCCATTTCAGAAGTGGATGAAATTTCAGAGAGATTTTGAGAATTTTAAGACAGCCTGCATACCCTGGGAAATGAAAATTAAGGAGATTGAAAGTAAGTACTTAAGGAAGGTAATAAAGAATAGTATCTAGTATCTTATTCCTGATGCATGTAAAAATGGTAAGTTACTTATCAATACTTTAGAAATAAAGGTCTGTATTCAATGTATAGTATAAACTCAATCAGCATTTATTTTTTCTTAATATTTATTGAGCTTGATATTATAGCTAGTTGAAAATATCCTTGAGAGAATTTTAATCAATTTACAGATAAAAATCTTGAATACACAATTTAGCAGCCAGTGGTGAAGTTAATCCCTGAAATTGGAATTAGAATTTAGACATTGCCTACCTTCATTTTATTTTGTCTGTATTTATATTATAATTATTTCTGTGATATTTTTTCATCATCTTGAGCCTTATGCAAGTGGTATTTTGGCATTATTGCTCTCATTTTCAACCACATAATACAACACAGAGAAAACAGTGGTCTTGTATGTCCCCATGTATTAGGCATAAATATAAAAACACCTAGGGTACTTAGTACTATGTTTATGTTTGAGAGTAGGTTTTTGGCATGTCAGTTTTAAGTTCCAGTGATGCATTTAAAATTCAGCCCTTTCTTTGAAGGAGATTTAGCTTAATTGCACAGGTACCTGAGTGAAGCTTGCCTCTGATGAAATGCAGATGAAAGTGTGATGCAAACTGATTTTAGAGAAGTTGCCTTTGGAAGAAATTGCGGTTTGCATCAAAAGTCAATAACCAGAACAGCAGAATAACAGGAAAATGATAAATTGTGAATTTTGTGCTGTTTTAACTGCAAAATAGCCCTTGAGAAGAACTTACATAATGTCCTGAAACATATGGTCTATGGACTCCTGAACAAATTATCTACTCACTTGAGGCAGAGTTGAGAAAGAAGCTGCTGTGTGTGTGTAGTTAAAATCAATCTCAGCATTTACATATGAATGGTCTCTTACTGGTCTGGACATATAATTGACATCTCGAGGATTTGTGAGAACAACATTTCTGCAAGTTTCTGCAAGGGAGTAGTCATGGCACAAGCTGTTCTGCTAGTAATAACTTCCAACAGATCATTTGTTTCCCTGTAAAATCAGAATTAAAAAAAAAAAAAAAGAACAAGAAAAAAAAGAACCGGGTAATTTTTCCAGTCTTGCTTTTATATCTGTTTAGTTCTTCATTTAAATGAGTTTTACTGTTACCTGGTCCCCAAATGGCAGTGGGATAGCAACTTTCAATAATCTCAACAGGTAAGATTGTTTATTCTTTTTGTACTTATTTTTATTTTTTATACTCTGAACTTTGGTTGGAAAGTGTAGTCTAGAATAAGGCGTGATTTCAAGGGAGGAGCTGTGAAATATTGCTGAGGAAAAGAGTTTTCAGTCACAATTTACTTGATTCTGGTTAATCCAAGCAGTAGTTCTCAGGATGTACCTCATATTAGTACGTTTGTAGTACTAAGATCAAGGTCATCTTAATGATGACACTGATTAAGCTGCCAAGGAATAAAAAGGGGATTTAGGTATTAAAAAAGGAGAATTAGGGGAAACTTAGATGGAAAAAGTATAGTCGGTGTGTAAGGGAAAGTAAAGATTAAGATACATTGAGTCACAGAGACCAAAAATCTACTGTTTCACCTTTTCTAGAAAATCAGATGTCATCTGAAGTTATATGTAGGCGGTGCATATGTTGCACGTTTATTAAAAGAGAAAGAGTAATCCTCTGTTTCTTGTCATTTAACAAACTCTTGGGGCTGAGTCAAGGATTACCCTGCATTCCCAAAATTTCAGGTTGGCAGAGTCACTATGCGATTGTTTGTAAAACCATTTCTATATCAATCTCTGATCAAAATCTCCAGATTTGATCAGAGATCAAATACCTAACAGATAGGAGGAGCAGCCACCTTTTCAACGCTCAGCTTCAAGCTTGTGTGTGTGAACTCCAGGGAATGAAATGTGTTTAACAATTACTTTCTTCAGACATGCACTTCTGTTGAAGCAGTGGTACCTCTGCAAGGAGAGGCACGTTGGGGCTTAGTTCAAACCCTTGTAAAATAACAATAACAGTACTAACTTAAACACATGACATCAGAAATTGAACAGAATGTTCCTGATACTGCTTATAAAACATTTGGCAGAAAAATATTTTTGGTTGCTTAAGACTTTACATAAGACTTGCTAAATGCAGAACATTGAACACCTTAAAACAATCTTGTTGGAACAGGTAACACCTTGCATGTAACCACTGGATCCTTCAGTCTACTCAAAATACTGAGAAGTGATTGAAGAAAATGGTTCAACACTAGGCTTGGACACCAGGATCAATACTTCTATAGTTACTGTTGTTGGATAAGATTGTTTGTGATGAGTCTGTACCCATGTCAGTTCCCATGCGCTGTAGTCTTATTTAGCAAGATGTGGCTGCATGAAGGAAATCTGAGGGAGTATTGTCTACATGACAGTTCAGTTTTAGAAGAGACAGTAGAGTGAAACAAGCAACAGATGACATCAGATTGTGACAGGTAAAGTAGGTTGTTTGGACCATTCTTGGAATTCTGATGATGCCAAATATGCTGGCTCAGTTCTCCACTACAGTTCAGCCTGCATGACTGCTTTCCCTGTCACGACACAGGTTAACATTTTTAAACTAATATTTCTTTTTTTGATAATTTTTCCACCAGAACATATGCATACACACAGGTAAGTGTCTGATATATTTCATTCACCAGTGAAATATGTTTGAAAAAGAAATGTTCATAGGTAGCTCCTACTTCTTCCAACATCTGGGATTATAGTTCTATAAGCAGTCTCTTAACCCAAAGAAACTAGAAATAAAACTTACATAATCCTTGATGATCACTGCTAACACTATGCTGTAAGTTATTTTGTTTCCAGAGGCAGGCACTATGCACAGAAGTGTAAGTATTAGCAGGGTATAAGAAGAGGTAATGTCAATAGCACCTGAAAGAGATGTCGGAATTTATGAGAGTTCTGTTTGAATCTTGTGTGATCCTAGCTTAAAAAAAAAGTGTCAGCAGCAAGAGCATGAATAGAACAAGAACCTGACAGTTATATGCAGACTATTCTTTATAGGAAACATTTTCATTTGGCTAAATACCTTTATGTGAGGGAATATTTTATGCTCAGCAAACCTTTAGAGTTGTTAGTTTCCAACCACTAAACTTTTCAGCATGAGTCATCTCTATGCTCTCTCGTGAAGACAATTTGCATTTTCTGATCTCAAAGTGAGCTCTTTATTAAGAAATCCCAAGCAAAAGGCAGTACCTTTTTACAGTAGAAATAGGCGAAGTAAATATAATTTTCTAACCACTGAGAAACACTAATATTTATTCTTCAGTCCTTCTAAAAAACTGCATATGACCAACCAAGCATGACTGACACCTACTTTGAAATCTAGAGGATCAACAAAGTGAGGGAGATCAAGACATATATCAATAGAATGATCTGTCTTTTGGGTGCAGCTCAGGAGTTAACATGTGCTAGAGGCTTTTTTTAAGAAAAAAAACCCTCTGATGCTTATACTTATGTAGTGACGTTGGTCATTGATCGATTTTCAAATGTAGCCAGGGTAGTAGACAGATTACAAATGAAAAGTGAATTAAGGTCCTGGGTAGTGGATCAGTTATATAACTGCTGTGTAAGGTTTCTTTGACTTTTAAAGAAATACTGTACTGGTAAAACAATGATAGATGACATAGAAAGTTTTCTCTCACACAGACTGAAGAGAATCAGTAGCTGTGCTGCCCTAGTACTGCCTAACTGATGCAGGAAGCCTAAAGGGAAAACCAATGTTGAAATAAACACACTTCATGAAAACAACAGAAGGGCTGAATTCCCATGAAGTCAATAGAAATACAATAGCTTTAGCGAAAGAGGTTAAATGAAGAATGTGTTGAACTGGGAAAGGTGACACACCTGTGCCTGCCAGTGCTACTGAATCAAAAAGTTCCTTGAGCCGTTGCTTACACACTAGAAAGACCTGAAAAGAATATGCTTCATATTGAGCAAATTCTCCGTATCTTAGAGTTATACTGGTATGCTTGGGAACTCCTAAGGTACAAGGACACAAGTTTTAGTGTGTTTTTTTTTCTTACCATAGTTTCAGCTTGATGGAGAAGTTTAAACAGACTTCAAAAAGGTACTTTTGATAAACAAAGCGCTCCTTTAGGATAGGTCTGAATAATCTATGAAAGAGACCTGCTAATGCTACAGGGAAATCTTAAGCGTTCCTGTCTGTTTTGAAGTAATAATTCTGATTTTATTTCAAGGCCACTTGTAGACATGTAAGACCATCTTGACAATATAAAATCAGGTAATTCAACACTCTACTACACCTTGGATGTGTTACAGAAGAATATAGGAAAAAAAAAATTATTCACTGTTTATGATGGGCCTCTGAACTTGCAGCAGGGGGATTGTCAGTGTTTAGATACTAAAATTATCGAGTTTTTGTGTATGTGATAATTATAATCAACAATTTCTTATAATAAATAAAAGAATAAATTAGTGGAATAATCAAAACAAGAAAAAAAGGAAAGTGCTAGCTACATTTAAGCCCTATCAACAAAACTCATCTGTAACATCTGATTAGTTTCATAATGCTTCCCACTTTAACGAATAGGACCCTTCTTTTTACAGCCCTCTTCATTTTGGTCTTGACTCTTCGGTCACCAGGTATCTAGAAAGGCCAGGTATCAGCATGAAGTTCTAGACTGTCTCAGGTAGGCTTCCTGCTTGAAAATTAGGGTCTTTTCTAGCACAGCGAGCCCCGCTTCAGACAACAGGCAGCAATCCTTGTATTGGCAATAGATAAATCTATTTTTGATGTTTAAGAGAGATAGAAGTAGATAAGTAGATTAACTATTTACATTTAGGAAAGAGATGCTTATTTTCATTATACAATAATATTCAGCAATATCTGCAACAGGACTTTATGGAAAACACACATTGTTGTTTTGGTACAGGGAGAACCTTTTCATTGCACCGCTGAAATTTATACTGTGCATGACAATCTGCATGCCAATGCCTAGTAGGATAAAGCTCTTGATGCAGGAAAATATGGCTAAAGACTACTTTAAAGTATTACTCTTTCATTCATAATTGCAACATATTGCACCACAGAGTGAACTCAAAACACTGGTGAAACTTGGACTGGTGCAAGCTGATTTTTATCATGTTCCCTGTTGCCCCCTTTTTGGACCTGCTCAGTCTGGAAATGTAGTTAAAGGCAACCACAGCTAAATTATCCTCATCCTCAGGTAACCTTTTCACTTGTCAGAGGTAGTTGTTCTTGCCTCATTGATGAAAAAGAGTAAAGTCCATGTACAGTCTGTGCATTGTGATTTACAGTTATAGAATCATAGAATGGTTTGGGTTGGCAGGGAGCTTAAATACCATCTAGTTAATACCCATTCTATGGGCAGGGACACCTTCTACTAGACCAGGTTTCCCAAAACCCCATCCAACCTGGCCTTAAACATTGGTAAGGATGGGCCAGCCACAGCTTCTCTTCCAGTGCCTCTCCACCCTCACAGTAAAGAACTTCTTCCTACTGTCTAACCTAAATCACCTCTCTGTCAGTTTAAAGTGATCACCTCTTGTCCTATCGCTACCTGCCCTTGTAAAAAGTCCCTCTCCAGCTTTCTTGTAGGTCCCCTTCAGTTACTGAGATGGCTGCTATAAGGTCTACCTTATAAAAAATTTATTAGAACTATGGTAATAAAGCAAATGAAAAGCCTCCCCTATTTATTTTAAATGAACTCCTAGTGCCTTCATCTTGAGGTAAAATAACATGAAAAGACTGATCTATCTGGCTTTTGTTTTACTTCTCATATTTTCATAGGTCACTTTGGCTCATCAGTAGCATCTTATTTCATATTCTTGCGCTGGATGTATGGAATAAACATGATTCTCTTTGGACTGACCTTTGGACTTGTAATGATCCCTGAGGTGGGAATCTTTTAAATTATTGAGAATCACTATGTGAATTTCTGTCTTTGCAGTGAGATTCATAGGACTGGACCTTTAAATAAATTTTTCATCTCTTTATGCTCTATTTAAAAGTATTAATTTATACTAAGGCTTTAAAGATGTAGTTTCTTTGGAGACAGTTTTCTCTACAGATAAATGTCTTAAAATAGACATGTGCTCTGAAAGTGTTTTCGCATAGTCTAGGATTGTGTTAAAGTTTTTTTTTTTTTCTATGGAGAAAAGAAGAGGAACTGAGACTAAGGCTGACAAGTAGAATATCTTGACTAAAATGTGCATTTGAATCGAAAGATGCATTCCAGGCCTCTGAGGCACCATGGCTTCTTTTTAGCTGGCTTAACACTCACATGTTGATAAGGTGCAGCAGGCCTGTAAAGTCATGAGAGACCCCTCGTGTTTTGCACTGTGTGCAGCATCAGTTAGTAGTGCTGCTCAGGGCAGATGCAATTCAGGCAGAAATCGCTTCTGTGAAATGTAGTATTTTTCTAGTTCATTTGAGGTGCCATATTGTCTTCCTAAAAAGAGGCTTTATATGGAACTGAAAGTATTCTGCCATCTCCCTGATTTCAGTATTCCACAACCTCTTGTCTTCTAGTAAGCAGATGGGAAAAGGTCAAGTAGGAATTTCCAAGAGCTTTTTAATACAGCATTTCAATATCGTGATCTATCTTCCACTGAAGCCAAAACAGAAAAAATCTTCAGCAGTTTCCAGGGTAAAGGCTGGAAAGGACCGTGTGAGGACTTGTTCTGTGGCTGAGCAGCAGTGGGATAACTGTCCCTTCTCTTTCTTGGTATTTTGCTTTAAAATGTAAATTGCCCTAATTTTTCGGTTTCAGGCTTTGATGGGGAAGCCATATGGCTCTTTACCTAGAAAAACTGTCCCAAGAGCTGAAGAAGCAAGTGCTATGAACTTTGCTACTCTCTGGGATTTTAGTGTAAGTATGTGTAAGCTTTCAATACTGCATATTCACATGACTCTTTGACGATTCTCTTACTTCAGTATCTAATATTCGGAGATATCAAATATTTCAGACTAAAATGGCAATAGAAGTAATTTATTTTTTTTTTTCTTCCCTATAAGTTCTGAGTATAAGTGTTTCCTTCAGAGTAAACATGTAATGAAGCTCAGTGTCCACGTGCACATTTCAGTATACGTAGCAATACAAGAACACATGGGGAAAAGTCTCAAAGCTGGATTCACATCCCTTGTATGCTACCAAGTTACAAATAAAAGAATCCAGATCAGCAAACATTATTTTATCCTAAAACAAGAAACTCAAGCTCCCACCAATTTTTAGGACAGTAAAGAAAAGATGAGCTCAACATACCTTTTGCATTTGTGCACTTGATACCCTTGCACTTGCACTTTTACTTTTTTGTGCACTTGCACACTCTCTGACATGTCAAAGAGACACAAATTTGGATTTTGCTATAATTAAACATTTTGCCAATATTCTTATCTCACCTGTCTTTTATCTTAGTCTTGGGAAGGAGTGAAAAAGACTTTCCATAAATACCTTTACACAGCAAAAAAAATATTTCAGGTCTCATGGCGAAATGCAATAGGCAAACCCCAGGAAACAGCGTACGGAATGACATGCAGTGGAGGAATTGTCTCTGACTTTTCAGAACACAGTGACTTAAAAAACATTTTAATACTCTGAGGGACCCAAAAGGCTCTCCAAAGCTGTGTTAGGCTGTAATGAAACTTGGGCTCAATTGGAACTATAGGGTACTCTAATGAGCAAAATGATGCAGAAGAGATGATAGTATTGAATTTGAATATGTCCTGACTCTGTAAATGTTTTACTAGTAGTTAGCAACAAATGTGTTCTATAACAATAGTTCTTTTATCAGAGAAGAACATCTGTTCTGTGTAGGCACATATCTCAAAGCTATTCGGATATGAATTAAAATGAGATATGTTGATTACTAAATCGAGATATTTTGAATAGTATTGTTAAAAACCCTGCATGCTGGATAATTATCCACAACATACAACTAACTATTGGTTCACGTATGCTGAATGATTTCACAATGAACAGCAGACAGCACTGATAGGCAAAGAAGGCATATGAGAATTTTTTATCAAATAGGCTATGAAAATAAATTTTAGAAATGTGAAAATTCAGTTAAAAGTCTGGCATTTTGTCTGCACATAATTTTTAAGACAAATTTTGTAAGCTGAAATGTTTTTGCCTTTACAACAAGAAGTATTTGGATAAAAACTTTTCACTCATAAAATCATAGAGTGCCCATGAAGTATTTTAAAGATAAAAGATTTGAAATTTGCCATGAAGTATTCTAGGTCTTTCTAGATGAAAGGAGAATTTTTTTTTCATCCTGTGACATTTATTATAGTGATGCTTACACCTGTTAGAATGCATTGGAACGGATATTTCAGTACACTGCTATTGGTACAATCTCTGAGTACATGCATATTTAACAGATGTGACATTATATTTTTTTATGACTTTTCAGGGCTTTGCACAGTATTCTGTACTCTTTTATGGTTACTACAATAACCAGAGGACAATTGGATGGCTCAAGTTCAGGATGCCTCTTTCATATTTTCTTGTTGGTGTTGGAACTATTGGCTACAGCTTTATGATTGTCATTCGAACGTAAGTTCTCCTTGGATCCAAATAAAGTACATTCAAAAAGGCAGATCATTCCGCTGTTGATCACTGAGACTGCCTTATAAAAATATGATACTTTTAGGGGCAGGACAATGCAATATCAAGTGCAAGGTCTAAGTCATGTAGGATTCCTTCACTGTGTGTTTATCTGTTGTTTTACACAAGCAACTGTGTCACAATGTTGTGGAACTAGGAAAAATATTTGCTAAAATAAGTTAACACTTTCCTTCTGAATTTCAGCCCATCTTTTCAAAATACTCTGCATCTAGCAAAATGTCAGCTAACATCCAGGAAATTCAGTTCTTCTACCTTTAATGATACCTTATGTGAGTTAAATTATTTTATGAAGGAAGAAGGGAAGAAACAAAGAAACTTATAGCAAATAATACTGTGTGTAATTCATAGTCAGCAGTAAATGAGTCTCATCAAGACTATAGAGGAGTGCTCACATTTGCACAGCAGTATAGAATTAATGCTACTGGGCATTGTAAAGATTTAATCATAGAGGTAAGTGAAACAGGGCTTAGGCAGTAAAACTGGTGATACATTAGTCATTTAGCTCTTAAATTCTAGACTTGAATATAGTCTTAAGATCAGAATTTAAATGAAATAAAATTATTATTTTATAGCTAAGTTCATTATTGGGATAAACTTTGATAATTCTGACAGTTTGTAAGGAGGTAAGCTGCGAAGGAATATAACTTTTAATAATCTTGATTCAAGCACGGTGACCTACTACAACAATACAGTCAGCTATAGTGGTGGCTTTAAAAGATGCCTACAGTGAAAAAAACCAGAGCATTGCAAGTCCAGATTCAAGGACACTTGTCAATACAGAGAAAATTGCAGCTGGTATTTCCAGTGTTTTGTCCTGAAGTCAGTATTTTTTCCTTGCATGAGCACTAGCTTAATTCATGTTCTCTTTTTCAAATATGATGTGGTTTCTGCATAGGGAAAGAAGCATTTCAGAAGAAAAAAAATAAAGTCTGCAGTTACATATATGTATTTTGGAGGAGGAACACAGTAGTACAATAAAAAAGTCATAGTTTTGGCTCAAAACTACTTTCTTTTCTTTTTATTATGTAAATGTGAAAATGAGAAAATTCTTAGTCTTAGACAATTGCATTTCAGTGACTGCCACTCAGAAAAAAAAAAGAGAAAAAAGAATCCTCTAGAAGAAAATCCCTGTGGCCCAAATGAAGGAATATCCTTGAGGAAAAAAATAAACTGTATGTGCTAACTTCCCATCTGGACATGTGACAGAAACTAAAAGCAGTGTAACAGAAGGTTATGCCATTTTTCTGCTGTTGACTGAGATCTGGAAAAGAGAATATCTATGTTAAAGAGGTAGGGAGGATACTAAGCATTATTATTCTAATTAGGAAAATATTTATATTTAGGGCTCCTCTTTGCAGCTCTTTCAGTACATAACTTAAAATAAAAATATTTCAGCTCTCGAAATCACATCCCAACCACAAGAATCTTCACTACTTCATTGGGAACCCTTGAGAAGGAATTATTTTAGTTTAGAAACAAGCTGCAGGACAGATCCTAACAAGAACCTTTCCTGGCGTCTGTCCCTTCTGTATACGAGCAGCAAAACAGAAAACACAACCTTGGTACTGGTTTATGACAGCTCAGAAAGATTTCAGGTCTTGTTTATCTATTATTGTCTTCTCAGATTTGACAATATGTATGTTACTGAACTGTTAAAAATGAGGTATGTAGAGTGTATTGATATTAATTTCATAACTTTGCTGTATTAGTGAGCTTTTCCTGATCAAGAAATCAATACAATACTAAAGGCTGGATGGTTTGTACCCTACCAATATACTCCATCCTTGTGCTTAATGGTTTTAATTAAGTAATAAAGTACATGGAAGCAAGACCACTATTATTACATGAGTGACAATGCTTTGAAATAAAGAAGTTACCATTTAAAATTAAGTCAAGTCACTAAAGAAATAATTTGAGGCTTCTGGATGCTGTTATCAATCTTGAAACAAGTGCATAGGAGATGAAAAGGAAGCTGTACTGGTAATACTGTTATATGGTAATATCCACATTTTGTTCTGGCTTGTTATTTTAGATTTTTTCTTTCTTTGTGAAGTCCCTAATAAAATCTATGACAGTTCAGGATGCTTTGCATCTCTCCATTCCAGAGATTTTCTTGATATTGTTTCCCCATTGGGTTTCTTTCCAGCAGAGTTTCTCTGATGTATGAATGAAATAAATTAATTCTCTTTCATGAAAATGTGCTTATAAATTGTCTAAATATGAAAATCTCTATCCTCCTCTCTTGTTTCAGACTAAATGTTCCAAGTTTAGTATAACATAACTAAATGAAATAACTTTTTTTTTTTTTTCCAGAACAATGTTAGAATTTAGAAACAATTTAAAAGTCATGTTCACATTTCAGAAATATTTCTAACAAGGACTTCATCTGTCTTTCTGGCTTTTGTAGAATGGCAAGAAATGCAAATGATGATGGTGGTGGGGATGATACTAGTTTTAATTTCAGCTGGAAAATGTTCACAAGCTGGGACTACTTGATTGGAAATCCTGAGACAGCAGATAATAAGTTTGCCTCCATCACAACAAGCTTTAAGGTAAAATAGAGGTCACTAAGAGAGGTAGCCTGATTTATCTGTCACACTGGTGTTAAAAGGAACTAAGGTCAAGTCTTAGCTGTGCTGGAGCCTTGAAAATTAAACAAGAATTGTCAGCTCTATACCCTTCTGAGTATTGGTCTTTGTGCCTTCCTGTCTTAATTTTTTCTTTTTTGATTGTGGAAGAAAAAAGCATTAACAACATCTTTTGTGTTATCTGTGACTGCAATACTAGTTTTAGAAAAATGATTCTACTGTAAAATAATCTCCTCCATTTCCTCATCTCCGATGTCTTCCATTTTCTATGCTGCTTGTCTGAAAAACTTTTTTTTTAATGCTGGTGACATTTTGCTAACCTCACGTTATCATTTTCTCTTGCTACACAGAAGAGATACCATAAGATAAAGCAATATGATCATCTATAAAAGGTTATTCTTCATATCAGAATTAGCCTCAGAATTTTGGTGTATACTTGCATTTCAATAAGGAGGTTATCTTCCTTACATAAAAAAAGTTTTTATTTTGAAATTAATTATCAAATAAATCCCAGTTTGCAAGGCAATGCAAGGTGTTTTCAGGCCTCTTCAATTTATAGACTATGTTGACTTCAAGAGTCATTGCATGAGGAATCTGGGGGAAGATGCGAGATGTACCGCTGTTAAGACAGTGAAGGGGATATATTCTATATGTTGAATGTTAAAGAATGTGTTTCTACACTGAGGTCAGTGGGACACACCAATGCAGCATGTAAAGGAAAGTTTAATTTAAAATGTAATAATGTACAGGAAATACACTGGAAAGGAGTTGCTAGGTAATAATGAAGGTGCTAGGCTTTAAGTCATACCGACAACATAACATGGGAGGTGAAAGACTGAGCCCTGGTTTCATTATCTAGTCACACAACAACATCCTTCCCACCCTTCCTTTCCCTACATGCCTACTGTGCTCAGCTGCTGAAAGTTATTTGGAGAGGAATACAAATAAGTAGAGACAGAGGCAATTTTAACAAATAAACTCATGAAGCTTTACTGCTATCTTTGCAAATGAGCAAAGAACCTCATAAAGAAAGAGAAGTTTTGTCTTAGGTGAAGTCATGGGAGTTTTGCTTAAGACTTTCATTTATGTAACAAGCAGAAGTTGTAAGAAAAAACAGAACCATGCAGAGTAATTATTGCAGTGTGGAAGTTCAGCTTCCCCTCTGTGCAGCTGATCTTTATGCCAAAGTGAGAAGCTGTAACCAAACTCCCTTTCATGAGGACACTTCAGAGCAAAAGCCCTTTCTGCTGGTAAAAGTCAGAGCTGTAGATTATAGTTAGACCTTAGTCTTAACATTTATCAGTACTGGCCAACAAACGTTTTATTTTGCAGTCTGAGGCTGTGCACTGTCTGCCTTTTTTTGAGATTCCTACGTCTAAACTATCTGTTGATTCCTTCTGAATTAAACATTTTTCTCATTCTCACAAATGTACATTTTAAAGGTGTGTTAGTTCCTTTTCTGACAGCTCTTCACACACCTATCCTGCTGGGTCACTCAGCCACACAGCACCCCACAGGCTCACAGAGCATGCTGGTTTCTTTTTGGCACACGGGTACAGGTATAATGGGACTCAGTGGGGACACACTCAATAGAAACAAAGTGAACTCTGTGAGACAAAACCCCGAAGTCTGCCAGCGTCTAAACGAGATTTTATGACACAATGTAAGTTCATGTGAAAACATGATAACCAGGTGTGCATTCACATCTTAGTAATTTATTTGACTGACTTCTAACCACTACAGAAACAATTTGGGGTCTTGACCATTAAAGTACTAATAATATTTTCTTTCTAACGAGTGCAGGAAGCTATTGTGGAGGAGCAGGAGAGCCGAAAAGAGGAAAATATTCACTTGACTCGATTCCTGAGGGTTCTTGCTAACTTCTTAGCCCTATGCACACTTGCTGGGAGTGGCTACCTCATCTTTTTTGTCGTCAGAAGATCCCAGAAATTTGCCCTGGAAGGTCTGGAGAACTACGGGTGGTGGGAAAGAAATGAAGTTCGTGCTAGCACATTTCTAAAATAGATGTGGTTTGAAACTGTGCTCCTCTGCTCTGCATGTTGCCTGTTTTTTCCTGAGAATTTAAATACTCTGAGTGTGGGTGGTAAATTTCTAACAAAAGAATTGTTCTTGTCTCTCTGTTTCCAACTTCATTAAGATGACTATTCCTTGGTTCACTCTTTCAAATGTAACCTTTGCATTTAGTTTTCATTTGAGGCTTTTACCTTTCCTTCTCTGTGCTCTTAAGATTGTTTTCTAGCCACTGTATGGACTCATAAGATGTTTGTAAAGAGCTCAGACTGCTGTTGCTTTCCTCCTGAGAGTGGCCCAAGCATCGGTGTGTGGGCTTATCCAAAGTTACTTGGGGCCTTGTGAATAGCAATAGGATGAAACTCATCTGTTGCTGTTCCAGATGCCCAGGCCAAAAGTCCAGTACCATTTTTTATGCTTAATCCTCTTCTTCTAGCACAGATGAAGCCTTGCCTTATCGAGGTGTGTAGTAATAGTGATTCTGTTTGCTGTAACAGTGTGCAGTAAATACCCAAAGTCAGTGCTGCTGTATGAAAACCTAGGCAGGTTTTACTTTCTTAGCAGACCCTGCTCTGCACATTCTAAAACTTGTTGTTAGTTCAAGCTCCTCTTCTGAGCTGAAATGTAAAGTAGATGTCTGATTTAAGGTAAGGCTAAAAGATGCTAGCCTCAAAAAGCTGCTGGGATGGGTGACAGTGGAATGAGGAAAGTAAATTTTGAATTTTCAACAGCAAAACCTTAGTGAGACAGTAACACAAAAACTCCAGCAATCCACCCCTGAAATCCAGAAAAAGGGGGCTGCTGAGATCGGGTTATTTGATAAAAGTTGCTACATTTTGATCTGATGGAAAAGTTGTATACAGAACTGCTTGAATTAAAGCCACATGAGCTCTAACTGTGACAACAGACTAGCAGATGGAGACAGTTCAGGAGGAATTCAGCTTTCTCTCAGTTGAAAGGTATGGTAACAGATTTGTAGGAGCAAGAACAGTCCTACTGAAAGCTGTTATCTTATGCTGCAATCTGGAAAGTAGTTAAGGGTATGCATTTCATTGTTTTACTTTGCTTTACAAAAAGTACTGCTAAGGAGATCCTGTATCACAAAACTAAGATCTGGAGCAGATGTGCCTCTAAAGGACAGTAGATACTGCAACATTGCCATTATTTGGCTAAAGAATTTTTCTTATTGGCAGAAAATGGATGTGTTTGTGAGGCATAAGATATTGCCTTTGCTTGGATATTAGTATTTAATTACATAAATATATGGCTTATATGTAACAACCATGTAAAGAGTTTTTCTAGATCAGGCTCTCTTGTGTTTGTATCATTAACAAATGAATTGAGATTTTGATCAGAAAAATACCCCATAAATACCTAATATAGTAAGAAAAAAATAGAAGTGCAGCTCTTACACTTCAAGCAATAGTATGTAAAAAAACAGCATTCTTCATAAAAGTAGCTCTTTTTGCAATAAATTTCTTTTCATGACACTGGATGTTTTAAAGGATTAAAAAAATGTTTACACATAGTTATGGTGTCAGGTAAATACCTTTTTTATCATCTGTTCCTGAGATTCACAGCCTAATAAACTGCCACTGGTCACTTTGTGGATAACACCTTTTCCTCTCTATCTTGTTATAACGTTTACTGTAGTGGCAGGACAAGGGGTAGTGGGTTAAAACTTAAACAGGGGAAGTTTAGGTTGGAAATAAAGAGGAAATTCTTTCCTGTTAGGGTGGTGAGGCACTGGAATGGGTTGCCCAGGGAGGTTGTGAATGCTCCATCCCTGGCGGTGTTTAAAACCAGGTTGGATGAAGCCTTGAGTTAGATGGTTTAGTGTGAGGTGTCCTTGCTCATGGCAGGGGTTTGGAACTAGATGATCTTAAGGCCCTTTCCAACCCTAACTATTCCATGATTCTATGATTCTATGTTGCAAATTTTTAAACTCCCTTTCCACATTTGTATTACCTAATTCTGTCAGATCACAGTTCAGGTATAGTTGTCTAATGTGTCATGAAACTCAGAAAAATAAGAGGAAACAGACAGACTGGGGTTGATAAGGGATTTCATCAGTCTTTGCATTGCTTCTCATGCATGGATTTGGCTTGGTGGTTAGTTATGGGTGGAAGATGATTCTGCATCGTGTGACAATTTCCCCATGGTTGTAAAATGGAGAATAGTGCGTGGTTCCCTTGGTAAAGAGTTCTGAAATTGGATCAAAATTACTAAAAATAAATTTGACTTTTCTCATTTGATAGAAGACATTTTGCAGAAGTAGAAGGTAAAATGAGCATCTCTCTGTTAATGAGGTACCCCGTTTTCTCATATGTATTCCTGTACTGTTTAAGCGCAAAGCTACTTTAAACCAGAAAAAACCCATGAGGAGAAAGACTTTTTTTTTTTTTTTCTTTCTCAGTATCAAGAAGGTATAGCTTAAATATTTCAGATCTTGCTACCTGAAACAACCCCAGAGAACCTTTGCCAAAAAATATCCTGCTATTTACTTTAATGTTCCCAGTTATGGATATTGAGTACATTTATATTGAGGTTATTAAACCATGTTGCTAATGCTCTGTTTAGTCCTAGAAATCATCAAGCAAATTCTATTATTATGAAATATAATTTCTAGTTTTAATTTCTTTTTTAAAAAATGAAACTGTTTACTAGAAAAGTATTAAAAAGTTTATTAGTGCTTTCTGCAACCAGTGCTAGACAGATCTATAGCTACTGCAATTATTGTTAGCTTTAGATAGACTATTTACTCTTAATGAACTTATCATTTAATCAACTAGCAGTCAGTGTTCAACATTTTATGTTGTGTTGACACAGTTTAATATGTTTGGGGGCTGATGTTTACATGTGATTGCAGTCACAGGATTTCTTAGTAGGTTCAAAGTAGCTGGAAAATCTTCTGTAAGCAGTAATTTTCTACCCTTCAGAGTGTAACACAGGGGCTTGGGTTTCTGGTGTATTTAATGTCAAAGAGGGATAAAACCCTGTGTTTTGGACCATAGTTTTAATAATTAGTGTGTGCCCCTTGGTTGTGGATCCTTTCTTACAGAAAATTCTCATATTAAGGCAGAGACAGCTTCTGAGATTCCCTCAGCTAATAGTGAATATAAGACAACACTGGCTACCAACCATAAATCTTGCATGCTAGCATGCTGCCCCTAGTCACATTTTTAAATTCCCAATCCACTTTCTTAAAGTCACACAGAGCAGTGAAAATGTCACTTATAAAAACAGGGACAGAAAATCTGCTCCAGCACCTGAGCTTCAAGAGGACAAGAGGTCCAGAATTTAAATCAGCTCCTTTGTGAAATCAAACTGGATTAAAGTGGATAAAATTGAATGGATGATTCAGTGGATGATTTTTTTGTTCAGCAAAATCCCTTTCAGAAGCCAAAAAATACGGAAAATATATCTATGAAACTACATGAGAAATGTTTATGTTTTTGGTATACAAAGACCATCATAGTTTTTGGATTTTGAAGACTCAATGTGTTACATGTCTCAGTAAAATTTTGCATTTTTGGTTGTAATAATTTCTCAGTTTTCAGCTTTGCAAGCTTCTGTGCCTCATTTCACCTCTTATCTTAAAGATGTCTTTTCTCCAGTATTAGAAATGCTCTTGAGATGGGTAACATAAATAATCAAGGCATGGAAAAATGCGGATAGAAAGCAAATGAGAAAGAATATGCATGCTTCAGACAAGTGATAAAAAAGGCAAAACATAATAAAAATATAGAAAATATTGAATGTTTAAGAGGGAGAAAAGCAGCAATTTCTGTCCTGCCTCTCCCACACAACAGTAAGGAAGCTTTCAATAAGGTTAGCAGGTACTGCATTTAAAAGTGCCCAAAGAATATACATCTTCTTCCCAAATGCATATTTAGTCTGTCTTCTAGTATAAGAAATAAGGGACATCAAATGAATTTGGCAGAAACCAGCTTCAGAAAAGGCCAAAGGGAAGGAATGGTAGATGGTGGGTGGGTACCAGTGCTACGAATGTCAAAACTTACATTTGTCTGAAGTATTTGATCAGAACAGAATTTTTCTATCGAAAATAGGATGTGCAGCCTGTTACAGTAATTTTAGGAATATACAATTAGTTGTGTTGGTTACAGCTGACTCCTGGAGTTTTGCCATCTTGGGCCATATTTGGTGTAAAGTCTGGTGTAAAGAAGGACTTGGGGTGTTGGTCAATGAGAAAATGAACATGAGCTGGCTTCAGTGTGCACTTGCAGCCCAGAAAGCCAACTGTACCCTGGGCTGCATCAAAAGGAGCGTGACCAGCAGGTCGAAGGAGGTGATCCTGCCCCTCTACTCTGCTCTTGTGAGACCTCACTTGGAGTATTGTGTGCAGTCCTGGTGTCCTCAACATAAAAAGGACATGGAGCTGTTGGAACAAGTCCAGAGGAGGGCCATGAGGATGATCAGGGAACTGGAGCACCTCCCCTATGAAGATAGGCTGAGAAAGTTGGGGCTGTTCAGCTTGGAGAAGAGAAGGCTGCGTGGAGACCTCATAGCAGCCTTCCAGTATCTGAAGGGGGCCCATAGGGATGCTGGGGAGGGACTCTTCCTTAGGGACTGTAGTGACAGGACAAGGGGTAATGGGTTAAACCTTAAACAGGGGAACTTTAGGTTGGATATAAGGAGGAAATTCTTTCCTGTGAGGGTGATGGGGCACTGGAATGGGTTGCCCAGGAAAGTTGTGAATGTTCCATCCCTGGCAGTGTTCAAGGCCAGGTTGGACAGAGCCTTGGGTGGCGTGGTTGTGAGTTGTCCCTCCCCATGGCGGTGGGGTAGGAACTAATGATCTTTAGGTCCTTTCCAACCCTAACTATTCTATGATTCTATGATATTTGTGAGGGCATTTATTTGTTGGTATAGTGCCTTTCTGTTGCCATATTATTTCTGAAAAGCAATAGCAGTCCTAGCTCCCTGGGTAGCAGGAAACATGGATAGTATTAGTTCTAGCAAAATGAATTCCAGCATGGCTCAGAAATGCTCATTTCAGAGACAGACTTTGGTGAACAATTACTTTTTTTTTTTTTGTGGCTAAATAAGTTCTTTTTACTTAATTGTTTTAATATGGTTCATCTCAAATAAGCATATTTGTGTTTTCCAGCCACTTTTGTGACTTAAACTGGGGCTTTGGTTTTTGTTTCTTGTTTGTTGTTTATAGTCCCTCAAAGGCACACTTTTTGTAATGCAGTTTTATTTCAAATTGAAATTGAATACTTGCACTTTGAAACTTTTTTAGTTATTTTCATTTTTGGCTGATATAATGAATTAGAACCAAAATTTTCAAATAATTTCCAGCAATCACTTAGGAATGTTACGTTACTGGAGTGCCTCACTCATCTGTAGAATTTATAAGCTATGTTGTATTTCAAACTTTCTATAAAAGCTAGGTATCTGTTTTTCTCAGTTTGCCTTCAGTAAACTTACACTATTTTCTTATTGCTAAGAAGACGAGTTAATCGTATTAGAGGTTTCTAAGAATATCAGGCAGAAAAAAGCAGGGTTGATTTGAATTTGCTTATGTAGTGAGGACATAAGGTCTGAGATAGAGAGCTGGGCAATCACCAACTGTATGAAATTTAACAAAAGCAAATGCAGCACTTTCCAACTGGAATAGGGTAACCCTGGTGATACATGCACACTGGGGAACAAGAGGATGGAGGGCAGCCTTATGGAAAGAGACCTGGTGGTTTGTCTTCATGGCAAGTTGAACATGAGCCAACAATGTTCCCTGGCAGCCAATAGGGCCAACCGTGTCCTGGAGTGCATCCGGCCAGAGATCTAGAGAGGTGATTGTCCCACTCTGCACTGCCCTGGTGCAGCCTCACCTCATGCACTGTGTGCAGTTTGGGGCTCTTCAATTTGAGGAAATCAGACTGTTAAAAGCATGTTCAGAGGAGGGTGACCAAGATTGTGAAATGTTCTGAGGCCAGACTGATGAAGAATGGCTGAGGTCACTTGGCTTGTTCAGCTTGGAGAAGAGAAAGCTGAGGGGTGATCTCATGGCAGTCTACAATTTCCTCAAGGTTGTGCAGTGGAGGAATAGGTGCTGATCTCCTCTCTTTGGTGACCAGCAATAGGACATGAGGAAATGGAATGATGCTGCATCAGAGGAAGTTCATCTTGGACATTAGGAAAAGATTCTTCACCAAGAGGGTGTTTGGTCACTGGAACAAGCTCCCAGAAGTGGTTGTGACACCAAGCCTGTCAGAGTTCAAGGACCCTCTAAATGATGATCTTAGTTGGATGGTTTAGTTTTAGGCATTGCTGAGAGGAGTGGGGAGCTGGACTTGATGCTTATGAGTCCCTTCCAACTTGAGATATTTTATGATTCCATGATTTGTGACATCTACAATTAACTTTTGCGGAGATCTCAGATAAATACTATGTAGTGCAGTATTTCTGTAAGAATGCTTTTTGTGGGATATCTAAGTCTATTGGGAAGATGTGGTAGAGATGCAGCATGAAACAGTACCTGAAGCAGATTTTATTAAGTTCTCTGATAGCAGAATTTTGTTTGAAATGTACCTTCTAGTCAGAACGACTAACATATGACTTTTTGAAGTGAAATGAAAAATTAAAAAAAAACCCCCTCACATATCCATCTGCAGAAGGTAACAACTAACTTTCCAACTTTTTCTTCCTTTCTGAAAACATCTTGTGACTCCCAGGGTGGATTTTGTTTTTCATTGAGTAAAAGGTAGTAATGGAAATATGCAATACACCCAAGTCAATAATGACAAAAGAGCTTGCCTAACATTTCTGCGTAAACCTTTTTCTTTATTTTTTTTTCTTTTTTTTCCCCTCTTAGGTGAACATGGTTATGTCACTTTTAGGAATGTTCTGTCCAACTTTATTTGATGTAATCAGTTCTCTGGAAAACTACCACCCTCGAATAGCTCTCAGATGGCAGCTGGGACGAATCTTTGCTCTTTTTCTTGGCAATCTCTACACTTTCATTATTGCCTTAATGGATGAAATCAATCTCAAGGCAAGCCATTTATTTCCCTTTGCTGATTTTAATATGTAGATGGGCAAGGATGAGGATTTCCAGACAGTCACAGACGTATCAGTGAAAGATGTTCTTTTCTTTCTCTGCTGTAAACCGTGTCCTTGCCTCAGTTAATAATGGGAGTTTTGGAATAGAAAAAGTTGTGAGTTGGTAACAAGTTCATGATGTATTTTTTTTCCCCACTTCTTTCTTAGTTGGAAGAAGAAAAGATAGTCAAGTATAACATGACAATATGGGAAGCTAGTCTGTACAATGGTACTATTCCAGAAAATTCAACTGCTCCTCCAATACAGGTGGACCCTGCAGATGTCCCCAGAGGGCCGTGCTGGGAAACAATGGTAGGACAGGTAATTTAACAGCTTTGATCTCATATTTGAAAATAGGTCATTGTTTGTTACAAGGTATGATATATAAACCCTCTTTATTTCTGCTAGTAACTGGTGTTAAGGTGGGAAAAATGTGAGGAAAAGCACAATGTGGGACTTTTTCCTGAGCCAAAAAGTAGTGAAAAAAATATTTTGAGTTTCTTTGGAGCCTGTCTAGTTAAAAATTATTTCTCCTGATAGTTAACAGCATTTAAAACATTTTTCCCCCCTCCTTTTCACTATTCTTTTCATTTATCTTCTTCCTTACCCCATATTTGTGTTGCAAAACATGTTTAGCAATTTTGAAAACCTGGATTTCTCACAACCCCTACTAAATGTGGTAATCCTCATTAGAACTCTGATAAGGCACTATCTCTTTGTGACCGCTACAGACCTATTAAAAATGTCTATAAAAAAATCGAGTAGCTCAACAAGGAAATACATGCAAGACAGCTGTTACAGCAATGTACTTTTGAGAAGGCATCTCTATCGATAGCCAAGTAACAAAATGCAAAAGAACAATAGCGATTGATTGTAAATCTGCTCAGTCATTTTATTTGATTCAGTTGAATAGATATTATTATTGACTTATTAAGCAAAATGTAATTTCAAAATAATTTTGTAACATCTCCCTTTCCTCTATTTGGTCATACCTTGTTGTTTTGTGCATGAGAATGGATTCACCACTGAATCACAACATTTTCTGTTGTTCACTTCGTCATCTCACTTCCTGACTGACTGTATCACTATCGTGAAGCAGACAGGGAGGAAAAACAGCCCCTCTGTTCTTTTCAGGGATGCTGAATAATAAACTAAGAACACAAAGAGCTCATCACTGCACTAGTTTTCTACTTAATTTCATAACAGGGAGAGTAAGAGCCTTTTGGGCTATTGGATAAGACTTGTTACAGTAGGGTTTAGTTTATTTACTAAAAGTAGAGGAATGAAGACTTCCATTAGGATTTTCTTCTTTCCTCTCCATGTGTACTGAGAGGTTTGTGCTTCTTGAGAAAGAAGCCACTCCTTTTTTATTAAATTTTCCCACAGTCAAAGAGATCAAAAGCAGTTTAACATATCAGCTCAGATTTCTATTATAGCAGCGATCTTGGCTGGAAGCCTTTCCCAGTCTAATCATGCACTGGAAGTCTTATCTGATAATATGAGCACAAATTAGAGCAAAGAATACCTATAGCAAACGAGGGGCAATTTTTCTCCTGGCATTTCTCATAATTGGTTAATGTAGAGCAGAAGTGGTCTTTTCTGTGTTGGAGCAGGGTAAGCTCAATTAGGGATGTAGTCCAGTATTTCATTATTATTGTAATTATTTAATTGCTTAAACCAAAATATTGCTCTAACAGGAATTTGTGCGGCTGACTGTCTCTGACACGATGACAACATACATCACAATTCTAATTGGCGATTTCTTGAGAGCTGTTTTTGTTAGGTTTTTCAATTACTGCTGGTGCTGGGACTTGGAGTATGGATTTGTAAGTATCTGATTTGCTACATTAATTATCACTTCACATTTTTATAGTAAATTACATTTTCCTTTCAACCCTACAGAATTAATAGCTGGCTAGACACATCACCTTCAAAACACCTGAACAACACTGTGTTAGTTTTTCTCAGAATTTGCTTGTGCCTTAATATTTGTCTTATTCTTCAGCCTTAGGAAATGTTGGGGTTTTTTATATTGGATCATGTAAGAATACTGGGTACATATTTTTCACACATTTCCAATTTTAAGACTTATTCCCTGTTTGACAGAATACACTCTCATTGATTTCTACAGGATTTTGGATACAGCCTTCTAGCACAGTGTTTGTGAGAAAGCTATGACAGAACTTGTCCTAGAAATCTTATATATATTTGCTAGAATTAGTGTACCTGGAATAAAGGTAGTAAGTCCCTTAGGTGGGCGCAGAGCTCTTCACTTGGGAATGAGACTTGCACTCTTTTACAAACTGAGTTAGGCTAACATAGCCAGCTAACTTAACTACACCGTAAAGTCTGAAGCTGTTTTTTCACCTCTTAGCTGTTAGTACTTACTGAGCGGTATGGGAAAGAGCTAGGTCATTTAAACCCATCTGCATGAGTGGCCAAAGTAGTTGTTCCGCCATCTTCTAGTCTTCCTTTCCTCAACATTTTTAATTCACGCATGTACAAATTTCTTTTTTCACTAAAAGTAGCCTCTCAGGAAATGATAATTTTGTGAAATGCCTGAATCTTCCAATGTTGAGAATCATACAGTAAACTACAGGACATTTTTTTCTTGAACTGGAAGTGCCAGTTGTCAGATGAAGACACATACACTCATCCATTAACACTTCAGACTTAATTTTTTGCTCTTTGTTTTTTGTTACCATTAGGGATGTTAATAGTATATAATACAGTAATTGAATCAATAGAACAGAGCCTAAAAAGGAAAGAGCTTTAATTAAGAGCCTGGAATGAAAAGCTGCACAGATACCATCCTTCTCATCATTCATCCATACACAAAGTAAAGAACATGCATAGAGGTGATAAGCAGTGAGAGTGAAACTCACAGCCCACACACAAGGGCTTTAACACTCTTAAAGGAAGCTGTGGCATGTTTATCTAGCAACAAGAGGATGCTTATTTCCATGATGTATTTTTGTTCTCAAAGTGTCAACAACACGTCTGCTTGTAAGGGATGGTGAAACAAATTTATTACTGACATTTTTATTTGGCATTTTACAAGAGTGGCTTCAATGGTTTGGTCTGTTAGGTCCTCAGGTCCAGTAAGCTGAATGAAACATCACCCAGAAGTGAAAATGAAAACTGGAAATTGTTAAATTTCTGGAATTATCTGAGCTTAAAATCTTCCCTGGGAAGTAGATCTACCTGTATCTCTGTGATTAGTGGCCATGATATACCTATTATCCATTAATTTTCAGCCTAAGTCTTTTGACAACCAAAATGTCCTTTGGCAAAGAATTCCAGAAATTAACTTGCACTTTTTGTGGAAAACCACTTCTTTTTGTTTGTTTAAAAAAGAAATTTCAGACTATTTGTTAATGCTAGCCCCTATGTTATGAAGAACTGTCACACATTATTTGATTATGTATGATCCTATTCATCTCTCCATGCCAGTTATTATATTCTTTCCATACAGTTCTCCTTAGTCAACAAATTTCCCGTTGAATACTAGTAATCTATTTAATCTATCCTCATATAGAAGTAGATTCTTAAATAGATGCAACATAAACATAGCAGTTTGCTATAAACATATACATATATATCTGTACATATACAAAAATACAGAGGAGGAGTGTAGGGACTCTCTAACAATATAACATAATATAATTCAAAATTGTGATTTTAACTGGTGATTTTAATAGAACAATTTTGTCTTGCTTCAGCCATAAGTTAATAGTTGGTTTTGTATGTCATGCACCTTCCTTTCTCTAGCAGTCATCCACATAATTAATAACTGGTAGATACACATTATCCATGATCTTTTTGTCTACCTACTGAGGTGATCATGTAAGTCACCAACTATGGTGTAGCAAAACTTTCTGAGAAAGCTGATTAAATCAGAATTGTGACAGTGCAAAGCCACATGAATAATATGCCCAAAGCAGACATTTAGTTGGAAAGCAAAACTTTACAGCTACAATTTCTGACAAGAAAGTTTTGTTCTGGTTCATGTCTGCACAAACTCACAAGTGTGTGATTATTTCAGTCACTGGACAAATGCAGTGTATTCAGTGTTTGCAGGTGGAAGTGTTCATGAATTAGAGACTAGTAAATAAGGTAGAAGAAGAGATGTGGAAATGATTACATGTTTGAAATGCCAAAATGAAAGGGTCAGATGGATAGTTCAGAAATACAAGACTAAAGAATTATCTGTTGTGTCTATACTGGAAACAAAAATTCACGATACTGTGCTTTCTTCCACAAAGTGATAACAACACTCAATAGCTGATTTGAAGTAAAAATTAGAATCAAACAAACATACTCAAGTAAGAAATAAGATATCATTTTTAAGTAGGGAATACAATGACTGGCAACATCAGTCAATGTTTAATAGGAATTCTTCAACAGTGTAACTTAAAATGTGAAAGGTACTGTTATAATTCAAATGAGAATTAAATCACAGCAGCCTCATGGCTGGTGCCGTGTCAGGGAGCACAGAGACTGACCACCACTAACCACTCCAATGGCACATTTATGAATACTTGTTTTTGCAATTTACCTACTACTCAGAAGTATTTTTAATTCTCCATTAGTACCTTCTCCAAAGATGTCTCAAAAATTTTTCCAGTAAAATACCACAAGCTGTGTTAAAGTCTGCCTGCTGGTCTTGAGTCATATCAATTTGATTCATGATCCACTGGTAAGATGCAACAAGAGTCCTTACATCACAATGCCAGTATGCTGAACAGGTTTAATCTACTGTAAATCATCTTAAAAGTCTTAGTTCAAGCCTAATGAAAGCATCTGTATTATTTCTTTCAGCCATCATATTCTGAGTTTGATATAAGTGGAAATGTGCTGGGACTGATCTTTAACCAAGGCATGATCTGGTAGGTGTGGCAAAGCATGCTGCATCTTCAGGACTGCTATATCTATGAAAGTTTCTTCTGAAATGCTGGTCCTGTCCCATGACTTTACTTTGATGGAAGTGTAATGTAGTATATATCAAACTATGGTATACTACAATCAGCGGGACCACTTCAAAACCAGTTCTGAGCTAAGATTATTGGATCAGATGCATCAGGATTTTGCAGTGAGCCAGTAAAATCAACCACTAAAAAGCTGCAAAGATGAATATTTTGTACTGGTAGCTAGCTACAGCAAACACCTAGCCAGTACTGTTTTGCTTTGAATTTCAGCCTTTCAGAATACCTTACCACTCTTCTCCCATGTGTCCTGTGGAAAAAACTCTTAAATGTATGTACTCTTATCTGTGCAAGCATGTGAATGTGTATAAAATGCTGCTGCTGCAGTATTAGTTCTTAGCTGTAGAGGATAAGAGGTCTATGTTGCATCCTGGCTTTGGACTTTACAGGAGTTGTAAAGAATGCCTGTGTGTATAGTTGTCATGCAAGATACTCGGTCTTCCTCAGGAATTATCCTCCTCAAGGACTGTTGGCTTCTCAAAGTTAACCCTTGCTATGGCTCAATTTTTCTCCTTTAAAATGACTTTGGTATCAGACTTTCTGCTTGGTCAAAACTCTTACTCCCATAAAGCCCAAAGTTTGAGTGTATGTCAAAGAAGTGACACAGAAATGCAACAAAGAAAGAGGCTGTAGATTAAGGAAAAAGTAGATTCCCAGTATTTTACGATCTGTATCTTTTGGCCAGACAAATGAAAGTAATTGCCCTTCAGTCAGCGTGGCACAAGAAACAAGGTGTGATAAAATAAAATGGTTGTAACTGTTTCAGTGCCATAACATTGCAACCATACGTACCAAGGAAAAAACAAGAAAAAACAAAATTGTTTTGGTAATACCTAGCTTCAAAGCTGTTAGATTTTCTTTTACAACACAACTGAGATGCTACTTGAATTGAAGGAGCAAAGTAGGAGTGGATAATATTTCATCAGGTGATCACTTAATTTGCACAGAAAGAGGGCTTTGCAAATTTGAAACAAAAAGTTCATATGGAGAATTAGCTCCATAGGTCTCCAGTTTGTCTTAAAGCAAGACTGAAGAGACATGATCAGTAAAAAAAAACAACCAAAACAATGATGGTTTCATGAACTTGATTTCTGAGTGCACGGTGCACATGGCTGCAAGGTGCATTGACATAGTGACTGGGTGGCATATCTAGGAAAAGAGAGTCCAACAACAAAGCGGTCATTTTTTAATTTGCCTTTTTTTGTGTAGGATGGGATCTTTCTATGCTCCATGTCTCCCAGCCATCAACGTGTTCCGCCTCCACACTTCGATGTACCTTCAGTGCTGGGCAGTGATGTGCTGCAATGTCCCCCAAGAAAGGGTCTTCAAGGCTTCCAGATCCAATAACTTCTATATGGCCATGCTGCTTTTCATCCTCTTTCTCTCCACACTGCCTGCTGTGTACACCATTGTCTCCATCCCACCATCTTTTGACTGTGGTCCTTTCAGGTTTTTTGTGTTTTAAATCCGTCTTTCGCTATTGTTGTAATGAACTGCCTTATCACATCACAACGAATGATGCAGCTTCTATAATAAGTGTTAGCACCTGATAGACTGCTTAATTGTGTCACATTTCTCATTGTGGATAATTCCTGAAGCTGGAATCCTAGAAAACTGTGTAGAAAGTTTATTTGAAGTGTAGAATAGCAAATCTTTATTTTAGATAGTTGTAATGTAAAAAAATGTCATTACACTAGAAACTGTTCTTTAGGAGGAGAGCAGTAACTTATTATACACCTCTGGTCTGCTGGCTTGAAGCTCATGGCTTTCATGAAATGTCTGCATATGCATGGGAGTGGCATACCAGAACACATGGTGGTGTGCTAAATGTATAGTGGTGCAGCCTTTGACTGTTGTGACTCTCTCCAACTGACACAGTATTTCATGTGTCTGTACTACCACTGTGAAGCTGATTCTTGTTCTGAAGTCTTCAAGACCTTCATGTTCATTAGTCCCTTCTAAAAACTTAGTCCGGCGTTGCCTGTGCAAATGTGTGCCTTGTATTCAATCTAGTTTAGATGTTGCCACATTTTCTTCTGTGCACACTACCCAGGAAGTCCAGGGCTGTTTTCACCACCTTTGCTTGTGAGGTAGTATAACAGGCAACTATAATGAGCACCCAACAGTCAAGATATGAAATTAAAATTTTAAAATACTTTAGTCTTTGGTTTGACCAAAGTATTATGAAAGCAAGGCAAGAAGAATAGTAAAAGAGACATCCTGATTCCAATGAAAACTTTGAATAATACATTACTGTTGTGAATACAATGATACCTACATTATCCCCAGTGCACTTTCTAAAGGAAAAGAAGTGTTGTCACATTAACTTTGGCCAATGCAAAATATCTGGGAGATTGTGTCTAGCCACCTGCAGTAGTCACAGTCACCTAAGATGAAGAATTACATGAAAAGCCAAAAATTCTGATAAGACAGAAAATTGCTTGCATTTGTCAGAGCAATGATAACATCATTGATGCTACTTTAAATAACATTCCTTTCAGAGTGTTTTAAATAATGTTAACATTTAGTTTATTGTCCCTTTCCCAGGTTTGATGTGGTGTGATTAACCTATATATGCATACTACTGCATTGACTTTGCCATCATATTTGTATGTGACATGTTGTTAAATTTTCTATTTAATAGTGGGAAGACTAGAATGTTTGAAGTCATATCAGAAACTTTGGAGCATGACTTCCCTTCCTGGTTTGGGAAGGTGTTTGGTTATGCCTCTAACCCTGGACTCGTCCTACCTTTTATATTGCTGATGGTGTACGTATGGAATATTAACTCAAAGCTTGCTTTTTTTTTCAACTCTGGATCTTCACTGCCTGAATATCTAATCAAATACAGTGCTGATTGCCCTGTGGTGAGGGACTTGAAAAATTCATGAGCCTTTTATTTGATCATAATTAATGTGCCTTTACACAAAGGGTAATCTCTCTTTTGTGTTCAGTGGCTTTCTTTTGTTTTTATTATTGCTGTTCAAAAATGCTGTTGTTACTACAATAATGGAAAAGATATTAAAATGCAAAAGCCTATGGGGGATCTGAAGTTCTGTGACTTTGATCAGCTTGCCCAGCAGGCAGAATAGCACATCTTAAATCCTTAACAAGTTCAATAGAAACATGATCATTCAGCATGAAGCAGAGTTATTTCTCAGTAATGTTCAATGTGTCCGTTGTTCAGTGCCTTGGTCTTTCTTTGATAAACAATGTCCTCTGTGCTGTTGGGGCAGGGGTATGAGACAGAGTGTTGGAGACTTTATGAAATAGGGCCAGGAGAGATTTTTTTGTAAGTCACTTGGTACCTAGCAAAGAATAATGACTCGGGAATAGCCTTTCTTAGAGACAGTAGTAAGTCCTGCTTTTAAAGGCATTTTAAAACTCTGTATACATATATAGGATTATTTAGCATACTGTTGATCTAAAAATCAATTCTATGTAGAGATGAGCTGGGATTTAAACCTTCATTGCCGAACTGCCAATAAATATAGAGAAGATTACAGAATACAACAGAAAGTGAAGAAGGATTTTGCATAAGCAAAATGAAATTCTGAGATTAACTTTTGCAAAGGTTCACTTAACAACATATTCTACTATAACCATAGCTAGAAAAACAAAGAATCCAGGCTGTCCTCTGAAACACATGGTCAATTCCGACTGATTTTTTTTTTTTTTTTTGAGTACTTTTCCTTTCCTGAAATGGTCACAGGCATAGATAATAAAAATAAATACAGAAAACCTCAAAAAAAAAAAAAAAGAAGAAAAATACAGGGCATAATCAGGAATAGCTTTATGATAGACCTTCCTTAGCTACTATAAAATGGAATGTAGGTATTGGAAGATGGTAATTTTTTTTTTCAATGTTTTTTCCCCCTGCTTTCTTCATTCTGTGGGGAAGCATATTGCTTATTGTCAAAATACTAGTACTAATTAGGCATGATAAATGAGGAAAAGATACTGGCTTTATATTAGCACAACTGTAGTTGTTGCTATAGGAATGTTGCAAGAGTCTTTATATTTAAAACATTGCCTAAAAAGGAATTATTTTGTTTTAAATTTAGCCTGAGTATTTATTATCTCAACGCTACATCCAAATCCTACAAGGAAGCAAACTTGGAACTTAAAAAGAAGCTACAAAGTGTAAGGATTATAGAATTACTGATTTTTTGTTTTACTAAATATCAGAGAGGCTGTTCAGATCACTGAAAGATGCCCTTTCTCTCTCCCCATCACTAGCAAGCAGAAGAAAATAAAAGAAGAAATAAACAAAAGGCACAAAAATCAAACGAACAAGATGAAAATCCATTTGAAACAGAACCACCACAGCAAACAGGAGGCAAACAAGATGAATCCACCTCAAACCAAGGTAAGGACTGTTTCGAACTCAGAAATTCATGTATGCCAGGCCATATTCTGCTTCACTGCCATGACTGCTTCCTTTGCCATAGTCTCCTGAAAGGTATTCATAATATTGAATCACAATTATTAGCTCAAGATCCAGTCCATCTTGCTTTCTTTGGTTCGTTTAAGAAACACTATAACATTATTCCATACCAGGCAATGCCTAAGGAAAAAATCCTGTAGCAGAGCTATGAGTAACAACATCACAGCCTGGAAAAAAACCCGCCGCCAACCAACAGTTAAAACCTGGTCTGAATGTCATTGGTCCCTCTTACCCATCACAAATCAGGTGGGTCCTTGTGCCTCCCTCTTGTATTTCATTGATCCAGGGCTGCTCAGGATAGCGTTTATCCACTCTCCCATGTTCAGTGGGAGAAGGGGTAGTGAGAACTAAGTATGGTAGCAATTGTCATTAGAAAGCCTAGCGTGGTCAGGCAGATTTCAGTCTGTCCTGAATATTCTCACAGGCTGTTTCTCTTTCACGAGTCAAAAAGGACTGGAGGGAAAATAGGATCAAAGATTGTGAAGGTGCATTACCCTGTTTTCAGGCTGTTGGCAGGGGAGGACCACGACTTTCCACCACAGGCTGGGGTGGACTGCAGGATTTGCCTCCTTGGGAATTTCTGTTTTGCATGTTCATATTTTAATCCTGTTCTCAAACACATTGCAGACAACAAAAAAGGACAAGTTGGCAATGAAGCGAAGAAGACGGGACAGCCACAAGAAGCCAGCTCCTCTCAGGCACCCCAGCATCAAGGCCCTGACCTGAATGGCCACTATCTCCCACAGAGCAGAGGAGGAAACCTTCCTCCCCCATCCCTAGCCGTCACAAGGCCACCAGCCCCCAGGGGATATGGAATGCCAGGCTGTCCACCTGGAAATGCACGCTTCCCAGGCGTGCAGCCAGGAATGCCTAGGGGCCCTCCCAACTACAGATAAAGAGCTCGAAGAACACTGTGATATGATGAAGGATGCTTAAGGATAGAAGAGCAGTTGTAAATGCAAACACACTTGCAAGCCCAAAGCCCTGCCTGTGTTTGTTGTAAATCTTTATGTGCATGCCCATGCTTCATGGGCTTCATTTTTTGCAGGATGGGATGCTTCACAAGGAAACATTGCTAATGTCTTCCTGCATTTGAAAGCATTGCAAAAATGTGTTGTCTGTGTCAATAGGTTACTAAACTTAAGGGTATTTATTGGAAGTTATTTATTAGAAGAATGAATAACATTTTGTATTCAGTCAATTATTTTCTTAAAAGCCTGAAAGCGTGTCCTTAAGATCTTTTACTTGGAAACATAGCTCCATATAAAGTGTCTGAGAGTCCGTTATGCTCAAACACTGCATATTTCTTGTCTTCTGCAGGTGAGATATGCTTACCCAAAGATTTCAGATTGTACATGAGAAAAGTAGGATCTTTTCAAAAGCTGAATGACTGTGCCTGAAGTCTTTGGGAAAGTATTTAAAATGTGAAAGAAAGGCAATTTTCTTGCCTGTTGATGTGAAAAAAAATTAACTCCTATCACAGGACAACTTTTACCTAGTAATAGTTTTAGTACATTCTGAAAGACTAAAACTAAGTTTGAAGAATAAAAGTGGTGAAGAAATATCTCATGTGCAGCAAAACATATTTGAGGAATAGATACAAGACAGTTATGCAACAATTTCCCCCAGATATTTACAGGATTGTGTTATGACACAGGGACACTTTGTACTGCATAAGAATACATGCTGTATAATCTGCTCTGTGAATTTATGATTGCGTATTTGTATTGACCTCTATAGAGTCCAGGGTAGAAGAGGTCTTTAGTCTGATAGGTTTTGTGGAAATACAGATACCTTGTGTAGAGGTCCATTTCGTACAGTAGAAAAAATAGCCATATCTCAGTATGAAAGTCTGAGACATCACAAAACAACCTCCATATAATTAAATTCTGGAACTTTAATTGCATAATTAAACTGTGAAAAAGGCTTTCAAAAGCCACCAGTATAGACCATGTATCTCCATAAAACACAGCAATCCAGACATAATTTTCAGCTCAGGCAGTCTTTGACTGAATTGCCAGAACCTAGGGGGATAAACCAAGGGAAAGTGCACTTTGCCTTGACTCTTGTACTGCTTCCATGAGCACCTGCTATCAGCTGGAGATAGGATATTCAACCAATCAGACTTTTAGTGAGTACCATGGTAGCTGTTCTCTGTATGCACTGAGCACTGATAATCAGATCAGGAAGTAAGTGGATTGCAATAGCTACAAGGGAGGGGCTTTTCACACACACTAGAAACGTTGTTACTAAGGGAGAGGACAAATATGTTCAGACTGGAGGCGGAGGCATGTCTGCATGTGGGGTGCAGACAGTCTTGAACTTAGAGATAAGTGAAGTTCAGTGTAAATGGTTTCATCTTTCTCAGATAAGATTTCTAATCTGTGGATTTCAGACATGCGGGAAAAGTACAGTAATTCAAACTATTAATTTGAAATCTTCTAACATGATTAATTTTTAAGATGCATATGTTTTTAGTCAGAAATACTGTCAGTTAAGCATGGGCCCCATTTCTCTTGTTCTTCCATGCTTTTAAGATAACCTGTTCCTACAAGCTGGGATTGATCCATCATGAGAAACTGATTTTCACAGAGGTTGTAGCTCAAAGTTCCTTAACATTTCGTAATATGAAAACAGTGGTTATTCCTTAGGAAAAAGATTGTGTATAGAATAAGCTAAGAAACAGTTTTTAAAGATGCTTTATTGCTTGGTGATCTGTGTTTTTCAAGGGGTGTTATAATAAATTCGAGTTGTAAACTGGTTTTGATGCAGTCTGTTTTCCTGAAATGTAGAAGGAGGTATAGCTACATGCACAGATCTTTATAAGGGTTCCTTGTTCTGTTAGGTCTAAATATTTCCTGTGGTATTAAAGACTTTACCATTATTAGCAGGCTTAGTATTTAATTTTGTGGGATTACTTTACATCATGAATGGGAGAGAGACACAGCAAGAAATCCACCAGATAAAAATATTCTGGGGCAGTTTTGGTTAGATCTGTATGCTGTATTGATTTTCAACAATAAATGTGTTCTCAGGATGCATCTGTATATGCAGTAATGAGCATCTAATAGCCAACATGGATAACAATAACAAGACAAGGTGTTGTTCATACCCTGTGATCAGCATCAGACTGCTGTGACGGAAAATGTGATATTTATTCTTTGGTACCTCTAAGTAAAGGTTTTTCATTACTGTACTTCATGAAGCTGTGCTTTCAAAGCTTCCTAGCTTAGTTCAGCTTAATTGCTTGACACCTCATTGATAACATAATACTGATTTAGCAGACAGAATGTAATCTTGTACATTTTAATGTTCAATACTAAGTTCACCTTTAATAAAACATACTGTTTACTCGGTAAAGGTAATTTTCAAACTATTACAATAATACTGCATTATCAAATTTCAAGTCAAATTCCTTTCTGTACAACCTTTATCACTGTCCTGGGTTTAGCAGTAGCAGCCATTTTTCTCCTTCTTGGTAGCAGGTGCTTGGTAGCTGTGTTTTGACTTTCAGCCTGGGAACAGTGCTGATAACACCAATGTTTTTAGCTGTTGCAAAGTAATGTTTACCCTGACCAAGGACTTTCTAAGTCTCATGCTCTGCCAGGGAGGAGGGTAAGCTGGGAGGAAGCAGAGACAGGACTCCTGCCCCAAACTAGCCAAAGAGGTATTCCATACCACAGCACGTCATGCCCAGGATGTAACTGAGAGTTACCCAGAAGGGCTAGTTGACTGCGAGGTATGGTTTGGTGCTCGGTAAGGTGAGGTGGGGTGAGTTATCAGTTGGCTGGTGGTGAGGTGTTATATTCTCTTCCCTCGTAATTTCCCTTATCATTATTATTATTGGTGGTAGCAGTAGTGATTTGTGTTATACCTTAGTTACTAAACTGTTCTTATCTCAACCCGTGGGAGTTGCATTTCTTTTCGATTTGCCTCTCTGTCCCTCCGGGAGTAGGGGGAGGGCAAGAAGGGGGAGTGAGTGTACAAGCTGTCTGTCTGGGGTTAAACCATGACTGTTCATTTTGGCGCCCAGTGTGGTGCAAGAAGGGTTTGAGAAAATGACAGATCTGACCAGACTAATAGTCACTCGTCACAATGCCGATTTATTGCCTGTCAAAGTTGTTCCTTTTGGTCTCACAGTTTCAGAATGTTGTAACTTACTTAGAGCTGGTATTTGCTGTGTTAGTGTTTATCAATTGTGGGGCTTGGGCTAAGGTTCTTGTCTCGCTGTACTTTATGGCAATGACTTGTAATATGGGTGGGCTCCAGCAGCAGGGCAGGACGGATGTGGCCGTGGGCTTGTAGCTGGCCATCCGGCTGCTCTTCACTGACCTGGCCCTCGTCCTCACCTCCGTCTTCGTGAGGCTGCTGGGAACCGAGGAGGAGCAGCCCGAGGAGCCGGCAGCGGCTGAAGCAGTGTCCTGTCTCTGCTTCCTCCCAGCTTCCCCTCCTCCTCCCTTGCAGAGCGTGAGACTCAGAAAGTCCTTGGTCAGACTAAACATCACTGAGCACCAATTAAAAATATCGGTATTATCAGTGCTGTTCCCAGGGCGAAAGTCAAAACTACAGCGCTGCACCAGCTACTAAGAAGGAGAAAAACGACTGCTGAACCCAGGACACCAGGTTCTTTTTTTTGTAGTTGTGGTTTTTTTTTTTTTTGCTTTGTTTTTTTCTTTTTTTGTGTGTGTGGGGTTTTTTTTTTGTTGCTGTTTTTTTTTTTTTTTTTTAATCCATGTGCTTTGTTCTTTTCTCCAGCAGAGGTCACAACAACACAAGGTATTGCCACACATCCATGTGAGCAACTGCCTTAGGGAAGGCTAAGTCCTTCCTATCTGACCAGGTAAAAGTTGACAGAACTAAGGTTCCTAGTAGAGTTTCAGATAACTGGTAATTCATGGGAATGCCAAGAGTTTGCTGATACGATGTTTGGACTAAGGCCAATAGTACAAGCTTTGCGGTGCTGTGGATATATAAGAGCAAACAAGGAATTTAATAGGCCATCTGAAATAGTGCATGGGAAAATTCAATGAACAAAAAAATCTTTCCAATGTTTCTCTGTTCTACAGATATAATAACTGGTAGAATAATGCTTTGGGAATAAGTGTTAGTTTCCCTCTTAAATGCAATATTGCTAAATGATATAGTCTGACTCACAGGTTTTTTGCAGGTCAAACTAGTTCATCTATTCTGTCATGTCAAACCTGACAATATGTAATCTTGCTCAGAAAGACAGCTTTAAACATTATGTAAAACTATATAGAAAAGGCAAACTACAAACTCATAAAAATGAGTTTTCATTTCAGGAGCTTCTGTCTGGGAAGTTAAAATAATACCCTCAGTCCTGTGTGTCCTGTCTGAAGTAAAATGATTTTTTTTTTTTTTATAAATGCATAGATATGTGGTAATATTCAGATAGAAAAGTGTTATCCAGAATAATTTGGGAAATGCTTTTGCAAAGCAAAGATGTGTGGACAAATGGTAAATTGTTATTCCATCAGTGAGGATAAAAAATAGCTCAGCAAAAATCCAGCAGGACTCTATACTGTAGAACATCTGTAATGGCCCAAACACAGTCATAAGAGATCACATGCAAAGATACTATCAAAGGAAAAGTGACAGCCTCTGTAAGCTGTGACAGATTAGGGCAAAGGGACAAACTAAATGGGAATGTCACAGCAAACAAGGACAGCTTACTCCAGGGTTTGAATACAAACCCCAGCATCATCAGGATAATTTTCTTCATGGAATTGATTGCTAGCAATATTTTATTACTTATAGAATCATAGAATCATACAATAGTTAGTGTCAGAAAGGACCTTAAGATCACCTAGTTCCAACCCCCCTGCCATGGGGAGGGACAACTCACACTTAACCATGCCACCCAAGGCTCTGTCCAACCTGGCCTTAAACACTGCCAGGGACAGAGCATTCACAACTTCCCTGGGCAACCCATTCCAGTGCCTCACCACCCTCACAGTAGAAAACTTCTTCCTTATATCTAACCTGAGCTTCCCCTGTT